CGGCCTCAGCAAGGCCTTCTTGTGGGTCCAGTGCCAAGGCTGAGCTATGTCCTCCTAGGCTAAGGATGAGCTGTGGGCCTCACTCTGGTTCCAATGCTTGCAGGCCTCAATGTGGAAGCAACGTTTGTCACATAGGGAGCGCTTCTGTGTCCCTTTACAGGGTGAATCAAAAGGGTGCTGATGTTGAGACGGGGCCCAGAGATTGAGGAGACTTTCCGTCTGGTTCAGCAGCAATGCCATCTGTTTGGTCATTTATGACTCATGGTGTCACAGCTCCCCAGCCACCAAGCCGTGCAGCCAGCTCTCTGCAGAAAAGCAGCAGGGGAGCAGTGAGGTGGCAGAGTGGCAGCACAGCCGGCCATGAAGGTGAGGTGCRGCAGATCTAAGGTGCTCTGGGCCAGCGCTGAGGTGAGCCAAGTAAGCTGACCCATCGCCCCATAGCAGCCTGGCCYGTACACAATGGGATGCCCTCATAGAAGTGCACTCCATGCAGCACCAGACAACCCCCCCCCCCAGCATGTGCAATTCAATGACTTTGCCCTCCAGCTTCCTGCTTCTTGAAGGAGGGAGAAAATGGACATAAACTGAATGGGACTCAGGGCTAACGGCATTATTACTTTGCCAAACCCTAATCAGCACAAGTTTGCACCAAAAGCAGTGACCCAAGTGCTAATAAAGCCCTAGACTAGCACACCCAGATGGGGAAATTCTGGTGTCAAGTTCCCTCTTGTCTGTAAGAGCTCTGTTCCTGTTTCTACTTCTGATAAATCCTCCTCTTATGCTCATTCTGGTCTGTGTATTTCACTTTTTGAATTGGTAAGACAAGAACCTTGAGAGAAGGAGTCACTTGATGGTGAGCTGGTGGGGCCTACCACTAAGAGCGGATGCATCTCTCTGCTGCAAAGGCCTGAAGCTTGTGCACATGCCACTCACTGGCAGAAACAGGGAGTCAAGTTTTTCTGGTTTCAATGCCGCCTAATGGTGCTCGAAGTRTCATGGCAAAAGGAGGAGTTGGAGGGGGCTATGGCAAGCCCACTACAACATTTGAAGCAAATACATACCTTCTTTCTCAAATAACTATTTTTGAGAAAAAGGTTTGGCTTAATACCAGATTATAGAAGAGACTGAAAGTCTGATCAGGGAAGTTTAATGATCAGGTAGTCAGAGCTACCCATTTCGAGATGGATGTTACTGTGATCCATCAAACTTCCGAGTCAGGTTCACCAAAACACCCAGCTATGCTGGACATTTTTCAACATTCAGGAAGACGGAGTGACCTGCTCTATGATTTAAATCACTTTCTATTYCTAGGTAGGCCCCTGCTCATCTAATGGGCTTGTAGACACACAGACAGGGACTGACTCCATCCATGTTTTTGACAACCCATTTCCCCTCCCAACACTGACCTGCTTCTCACCAGCATCAGCAGCCAGTTTTGTTTTTAATATTTTTTAAATATTTATTTTTTAGTTGTAGTTGGTCACAATACCTTTATTTATTTTTATGTGGTGCTGAGGATCAAACTCAGGGCCTTGCACATGCTAGGCAAGTGCTATACYGCTGAGCCACAACCCCAGCTCCTCACTAGCAGGTTTTGAGTCTTCTGAAAGGCTCCAATGTTAAGTGTGGTCCTAGATGCCCCACTTGGAGGGAGGTTATATGGACATCTTTTATTGGCAGATATCAGCAACTTGTCCCCACTATAATACAGGGTTTTTGAACTTGGATTGACTTTCTTTACCCATCAATGCCTATGCCAGCATCCTCACACTTTCCCAAGGAATGCCTTATTCATCAAAATACAGTATTGCTTCTGTTTTAAACCAAAAGAAGAACCATGGTGCGCTAATTTCTGTCCCTCAGTAGCAGCTGAGGAAATAATCAGTTGTAGCCTCAGCCACAGTGCCTGGTGGACACTGCCTGGAAAGGGAGTGTCACCATCCTATAGTGTGGACTCTCTGAGCTGGAAGCTGACATAGAACACATGGCTGGAGGAACCAAGAGAGCGTGCCTGTCACTAACACACCCAATGACCTACTTGCAAATTTCTTGTTTCTGTTTCTCCTCCTCTGGGCTGTGCTAGTTTGAAGGTGTTGGTAACAAGAAGGAATTCTTCCACTTTGGGGATTTGAGCATAATTTCCATTGAAATGAAAATTGAGACGCTGGCTATTTCAGACTTTTCCTCTCAGGTGCAGGGAGAGGGGGGTGAACTGCAAGTGTTGGCTTGACGATGGGGTGGCTATGATGGTGGGGGTAGCTGTGACTTCAGGGGGAAGTAGGGTTGCTCTTTATAATGGGCAAAAGGAGGTGAATGGATAAAAGCCAGTCACGGCCATGCATCTTGCTCCTGGAATGTACAGCAGCAAATCATAATAAAAAACTCCGACCCCTCAGGAATGAGGGCTGCTCCTAGCTACCTGAGATGTCTGATAAAGGGAAAGGGAGGTTCTGTAATGTGCATTAGGAGTCATAGAGTCCAATCAATAGCCTTAAGACCAGTTGCAAATCAAGGACTGTAACCTCTACTTACATTTTCTTTCTTGTGTATTATGCATATCGATATAAAATAATCGCCTTTGCTATTTGGCCCTTGTCCTCTACTGTTTTATATAGGACCAACTAGTGATGGATATCTTATTAGCTTGGCGCATGAGATATGGGAGGTGATAGATAATGAGTGACCATCACTCAGAGCTGCTGAGCTTGGAACTGGACACAGAAAAAAAATGCGTTTTTCAATTGTTAAAAGATATTCCATTGTATTAAATGGAAGTATTTTTGTTGTACATCATCTTTATCTCTAGAATTGAAAGGATGGCAAGAAATACATTCAACACTTGATAGTCAAAGAGGGATACTGAAGTAGTCATCTGGCATTCCTTTTGGCTGCTTTGAAGGTGTGATAAAGATTACGCGTTCTCCCAAATCCATCCTCCCTTCATGAACAAGAGCAGAACCATGGCCTCTAGCTGAGCACAGTGCCACAGGGAATAGAGACAACATCTCCCAACCTCTCTTGTAGCTAGCCTACTAATGTATTTAAGTTCCGTCGGTGAGCTGAATGTGGATGCATTGTGTGCATTGGAGGTCTCCTTAAGCAGAAGAGGGGTACCCTTTAGTCCTCTTCTGTTTTCCCTAATATCTACCTGAGATGTGGACACAGTAGTTGGAGAACCAGTAACCATCTTGGATCATGAGGTAGTCATGTGCATAGAAACTGGCACCATTTAGGAGAAATTTTAGAGCTGGACTTCTGATGGCAAACGATTTTCTTTCCATATAATAAAATGTGGACAGATGGTTTTTCCAACGTCCCAGGGGAGACACTGGTAAACAAGGCAAGTGCTTGGGATAAGAAAGTTCCCCAAGGAAACTTAGAAACAAGTCAGGTGACAAACAATTAGGCAAAGGTGCTCTGGAAGCACAGATGGGGCTCACCTGATCTCAAGCAAAGGCACAGTGGGTGATGTGGTCTGTAAAGACCTTCCAGAGGAAATGACACCTCATAGATCAAGAGGATTGGGCCAGTTTTTGCAGGAAGGTGTGGAAGAGTTGTCTTGCCTGGGGAGTGTCAGCTGGTACCAACACTGCTTATCCCTTTTCAGGAGATGAGTCAGGGGTGCACTCAGCCTCAGAATGAGGAGCAGGTGAGGGGAATTTAAGTATGGGGCAACATAAGTAGGTGTACTCTTTAGAAAGCTCATCCCAGCTGCTCTCTGCAGAAAAGGAATGAGGGGAGCAAGGTCAGAAGGTGGGACTAATTCGCATGTCCTCTTTCAGTAATGACAGAATGGAAGGACTCGGAAGGAGCACTTGGCCTCKTTCCCTGAGGGAGCTGGTAAACAATAGGCGATTCTAAGGAAAAGCTCAATCCAGGATCTACCAGTCCCTCAAGAAAAAGCACACACCGTTGGGCAGGAAATTGAGTTTCAGTTTAAGATGAAAAAGGGAATCACAAGAAATCGCTGGAGCCTGGGAAATCGGGTCCCTTTCTTCTGTTTACTCGAACTGCTTGCCTAGCAAAGCTTCCACCCGGCAGCCCGGCTTCTCTGCTCCGCCCAGAACATTCTCCAACTCCTAGGACTCCCAGCATAGCAGTAGTGTGGCGCCCGGGGGAGTAAACTGAGTCAATTCTCCGCCTGGGAGGAGCGGACAGGCCGCGCTACCGGGTCGGCWGGACGGACCTGGCAGGCTGCGCCCCCGGCGCCGCCCGCGCGCCTCGGCCACCAGCGCTCCGAGGGTCTCTGGACTGGCATGTGTGCGGCCCGGGTTCGACAAACAAAGATGTAGTGTCCGCCGAAAACTAAAAAATAAATATT